TAGTGATACCCTGTTTAGCCATATTCAATGGATTCATGCAGTCACCATGTGGACATAAGCCCTCATTGTGGTCCATACACCGTCATGATCACTGGAAAGACTAGCTCCTCCATACACAATATATTAGAGATTTTAATGAGGACATTTTTCATCAGCAAAACACTGCAATTTTGAAGGTTATGTCCACTTTCAGTTTCAAACAGCTAGTGCAGTACCCAACAACAGCTCAAGGCACACTGATAGACCATGTGTACTATAGGAATACATCTGGCAGTAACATATTTTCAATAGTCAAAGTGCAAGACACCTACTATTCTGATCCTGCAATACCAAAAGAACTAAAATATTTCGATTTTTCATACCTACTTTATGTATTCTTTGCTACTACTACAGTGGTAAAAATGGCATCCAAACCAACAAAGCGCAAATTGGAACTTGAAGAAGTTGAGAGTTTGGAGGAAACCAGTTAGTACTGCCTCTCTTCATGCAGTAGTTTCCTCCCTATCTCCCGTAAAGAAAGGCAGGAATAGCGACTACTTCGAAGGAACTGTAACGGATGGAAAATCAACTGTTCGACTCAAAAGGTCACAACAAAGCAAAATTCAAAGGTTTATGGATAAACAACAGCCAATTCTTCTAGATGATTGGCTAGAAGTGGCCCAAGAATGGAAATAATGCTGAAGGTTCCTACTGCCATCACTTCCTCTCCTAAGAATTTTTAAACAGATTTTGTTTATTTGGAAGAAAAACCTATTGTTTTGAATCAAAAGATGAATATGAAAAGGTGTCAGTGAATATAAAGGTCCTAAACGTTTTAGACCCTATCACAGTACCCACTGGAAAAAATACAAGAAGTTATAATTGCCGATTCTAGTACATCTTCCAAATGCACTTTATGGGAAGATGATAATGGCAGCTTGGCAGTAGGATCTTCTTACCTATTAAAGAAGTTCCATGTACGTGACTTTGGATCAAAGAAATTCATTTCTAAAGCCAGGGAGGACTCTGAAATATTAGCTATCTATGACATAGGAGTCACAGCAAGCAGCAACGAACACCCACAACCTGCTGAAATACACTCTGCACAAATTGTTGGAGTCCCCAATTAGATACCTACAAATCATGCCTCAGATGTAAAGCAAGGGTAAAACCTGTAACAGACACTCCTTCATCCCCTCCCTCCCACTATGCCTACCCTGTTCCTCATTCACAGTGTGCATCATCTTCATGCGTTATTGTGATTCAGTGGTGAACGGGAGCGAGCTACACCAACTGGCAGTGGTTTTTTATCCTCAGCAGACATATGTGCAGTACTTGGTCTGCGAAGTGAGGTGAGCTCTGGTTGCATGCATAATGGACCTTCACATTCCTTTAGTTGCAGGGTTCAGCCCGCTTATTAGGCAGGGTTTGACACAGTTAGGTTTAACACGCAGACTATATCAGTCCAACCTGGGTCAGCACTGGATTACTCAACCCAGGGTATAATAGGAGGCGTCCAACAAGCGATGGTGATACGTGGGCATGCATCAAATAACTGTCAATGCCAGTGTTGTCCAAGTACCTTACACACCTAACTACTGAAAACCCAATACGCAAATGAGCAATGACGTGCCTCGACAACTGGTTTCCCATTCACCGCACTGTGGAGCTATGCAGTTCAACCAAAATCAAGTATCAAATCTAGCATAGTGAGAAAACTGACTATATGTGGCGGGACAACATAATATTCCATTTCACCGCGCAGTGCTACGTACATGCCCAGTGCCGAGGGTTTGCACTCTAGTGCTTTTCATTATGTTCCGTTATGAGTTCCTGTGAGTTATGAATTCCTGTGTCCCACACAGAGTGGGATTTGCCTTTGCATGTATCGTGTTGTTTGCAAGCAAGTCGTCTCAATGAGGGTCTTTACCAGATGAATCACACTGATGCAACAGAGACAAAACAAGTTTGCAATCGTCTATGCCGTTCACTTCTGACTCTCGCGTTCCCTCGCCAAAATGTGCTGCATTTGTTCTTGTATACAGTAAGCTGTCACCGCAGTAGACCATTCTTCATAGTGTCGTTGGATGGTCCACCTTTTATTCATGTAAAAAAAGGTGCTGTCGTTGCTTTGCTTGCTGGGAGCAGCTAAGCGCATTCTTGGGTGTTCGTCTAAGACATGTAATGAAGCCGTTAGGGGGGATATGGGGCTTGATACGTTACAAGGGCGTAGGGATAAGAATAAGTTGAAGTGGTGGTATAAGTTAGCGGCATTGCCAGGCAATAGGTATCCGAAGAAGCTTTTTAATCAGGAATGGAATTTTAAGCCACGGAGAGGCAGGCAGAGGAAGGGTTGGAGTAAGGTCATTGATGATCTCTTTTCGTCATTAGGTCTTGACAAGGCAGAGTGGTTGCATGATATTCAAAATGGGGATTGCTCCTTGAAGGGCTTTCTGTGTATAATAGGGGACAGTATTAATGAGAGGGAGATTAGAAAGTTTGAAGAGGGGCTAAATAGCAAAGTAAAGCTGTTATTGTATAAGACATTTAACAAGGTGGTAGAGTTCAAAAAGTACTTGCATGGGAAAAGTGATGCTGGGTCTAGATTAATGTTTAAGTTCAGGTCAGGCACGCATGGGCTAAATGAGGAACTGGGCAGGCATAGGGGGAGGGAGGGGGTGAAAGAATGCCTGTTGTGTGATGATGAGTGTGAAAGTGTGAGTCATGTGTTGTGGGAGTGTCCAGCATATAGTAGTCTTAGGAGCAATTTCTTAGTTGCCCTGCAGGGGAAGCTTGGGGATGATGGGTTTGAGCATTTCCAGTCGCTTGATAGTTTCAGGAAAGCATCCTTTATATTGGGTAGTGAACTGTGGGAGGATAATTTTGGTTCTTTGCTTGGCCTTGTTAAAGATTTTATTTTGGATGTTTGGGAGCTAAGAAAGGTTAGGTTATACGGCGATAGCCCCTGCAGGGTGTCGCTGGTGGAAGGGGTGAGTTGAGGTGTCTGGGAGGTGAGACAGACACCTCATGTTCATATGGTGTATGTTCGTGTGTTAACGGTTCCGCCCATTACTCTGGGTGCGTGGTCTATGGCCCTAGTGCTATGGCAGCCACCTGAGTATTATTATTATTATAGAAAAGAGCCAACATCATTGGAGTCCTCGCAATTTTGTCTGTTCTAATGATATGCCTGACTACGTTCTAAACCTTATCAGTCAAATTTTAGCTATATGTCACACAAGAAAAGTATGCCCAATACACAAACATCTACGTAATTTGTTGCCTTGTTCACCAACTACAAAACTCTGAGTGACCTTTGACCCCAGTTTAAAAGGGTCAGCAGGTTGGAATGAATAGAGGTGAGGCTCTGCCTCATACCTTGTTCTGGTAGTTGATGACAGCTCCAGCTGATATCAGTTTCTCCACAATTTCTGTGTGACCTTTTTCAGCAGCTATCCCCAGAGGAGATGAGAGAGGATCAACCTTCACAAAGAAAAATTCAATTAAACAGGAATCATTGTGAGTAAACCAGTCACTCACAAAGAGTACGGTTAAATGGCTTTTGGATACACAAATTCAACATTTACAAATAATAAAGGCACTGTTCACCCTCCATAGTCGACTTAAAAGAACATTATTTAGCAGCTAACGCTAGAGTTACTGCACACACAGAAGCCTTGTAAAATTTCAGTTCAGTGCATGTGTGAATTTAGAATTACGTTTGGAAATCACAATAGGGTGGCAACATTGCTGTATACATTACATATAGAAGTGCAGGCAATTCAGGCAACTAGGTAGGATCACTTTGCTTACCATTAGATACAGTAGAAATAACTATTAATGTTAAGATGCTTGTAGTAAACCAGTCAACTAACTATGACTAGTCAAATACAGTGAAGGACATTAAGCATTGAGGAGGGGAAAAACAGAGACTAATGTATTGCTCATTGCAGCAACAGACGTACATATGTAGGTACAAGGAAATTGGTGTTACGTGTCAGTTACTCGGTAAGCATGTATTCCTATAGAGTGAACCATAGGCTACTTCAGAGTAGGCATGAAATGTATACTAAATCATTCGAGCAGTAAATACGTACACATTCATTGACATATCCATCCACAAGTCTATTTAAGCGATCAACCATACCAGCCATGAACTATTGCCCATTCTCACAGAAGCTAGCAATAATATCAGTGGGGTCATGCACCAATGGAATTTATTTGCATTATGACGTCATATGTAAGTCCATTTCAGCATTTTGCTTACAAAAGTCGCCATGGCATCTTGGCTAAGCCTCAGAACAAGCACCAGATTGGAAAAAGAGAGAGTTTATCATGTTATGTTCTATGAAAATGGTGCCAAAAAGGTTTCCTTGCAGCAGATATCCATGCAGTACAGTACTAAGTGTGTGTAATGAAACAGTGACATCGTTCTAGAACAAGTAAGCAGAAAGAAAACGAAGCGTGAATAGGTAATCAGATCTCAGGTTTTGTTGGCGACCTGACTGATACTGCAGTAGGAAGCCAAACACTGGAGCCCACACTCACGTTTCATGTAACATCTGATGCCTTCTCGTGGCAGATTCTGGTCGAGGTAGCTTGTGTTAAAAATATGATTTGCTTGTTTACCTGCTATTGTGCCATAACATATAAACACAGTATTTCTGGCTCAACCCAGTGTTTTAGATTCATGGTCAATGGCTCCAAAATGCAGTTAGCCATCTGTTGGTATAAATTTTAGGCCCCCCCATGTTGCAGATTGTGGGGTAACAGAGAGAAGGAGATGCATACACACACTCCAGACATAGTACAATAACCCTCTCTGTCCATGTGCACCAAGGGTTAATTAATGGCCTCAATATAACTCACTGTAGTGGTAAGATTAACATTTGCTCCATTCTTCAACAGAACATCAACTGTCTGCTTGTGTCCATTCTGACAGGCCACATAGAGTGGAGTAGCACCATCCTGAGTATAGGAGAAAGTGTGACAGAGAGATATGCAGGAGAAAGTCAAATGTGACATCATTGTGCAGAGAGATGTCATACAAACCCCCATACAATAGCAAAATATCGTTTGGTTGTCCCTCCATTTTGTCCTGTTTCTAACAGATTATGGTTGTTGCCATGCAAGTCCCGTACCTACGTAGCACCACACACTCACACATATTGGAAATCATTGCTGGAATTATGTGTTATAATAGGAAAATATTCTTTAGGGTCCAACCAGATGGGTATAACATTGCCAAGACCAGCTATGGCATCACTAAACAGCAGTAGTACATCCAAAGTGAAAACCAGTGTGTACATAGGAATGCCAAAAATGATATCTGGTCAATGAGGACACACACACACCACAGTCAACTACCCATCTCTTATCACACACCATTATCACTTCACAGGCCCACATTAAAACATTACTCTATATTCATGCTGTATCAGTCCACACAAAGAATCACTTGCAAGTGTGGAACACATTCAATTACGTCTACATAAAACATTACAGTATGTGAGACAGTGACCTTCTCATCGTTGTTGGATACATACATTCATGAGAATTTAGACGACTAAGTACAGGTGTGCTTGGCTCACCAACAACTGCACAGAGTTCATCACAGAAATAGCAACTAAATAAACCTATGTACACATTTTGTTGATTTGTTTTCTGCACTTGCTTTGCTCTCACATGCAGTCAGAGGTATGCCATAGAAATGTATGGAGAGAGTCTGTTCAGGGGTTTGCAGACTTCTAGGACTACAGTGCCGCATACGACTGGATGCGGAATGGAGCGATTAATGCAATGGTGCTTGAAAATGGTGAATATAGGGGAAAAAACAAGGAGACAAGACAGAGTGTATGTGATGCAGTAGTGCATGGTTGATGGCTACATATTTAAAACTGACATTGCTCGCTCATGTACATTTTCCTCCACACAAACCCTAGCTATATTGTCGCCACTTTTACTCACAACATGAATTTTCAAAGTGTGCGGACAATGGTGAATGGAGAGCCAAGAATGCAGCATTGTTACTTGAGCGAAAAGGAAAGTCTTAGACTGCACACAATGTAGTCACAACCAAAACTGAGGAGCTGTCAGAGAGGGCAACACCTGTGCATCACTTGCTTAGGAAATATGAGGAGCACACTCATGCTTTGCAACAATATAGGGCTGTATTACTTGTATCACAGAACTTTAATTAAGTTATTGACCTGCAACTTTACTGCAGGTTTGCAAAAGGCTACAGTCACAATGTTTCGCATTGTGCATACCCCTTGTGTACAGTGTCTCATAACAGCAAGACTCTCCAGGTATGTGTATCTTTAAGATGTATGTGTGTGAAGCACAACACAGCAAAGAAATGATCAAAACATACGTTAAAATTTCCTCCTAGGCAATTCGAGGACAAGTGCCAATTCCCGCAGTTGAGTACAAAAGTGAAAAATATATATATAGTGATACCCTGTTTAGCCATATTCAATGGATTCATGCAGTCACCATGTGGACAAAAGCCCTCATTGTGGTCCATACACCAGTCATGATTCAACTGGAAGAGACTTAGCTCCTCCATACACAATATATTAGGTGATTTTAATGAGGACATTTTTCATCAGCAAAACACTGCAATTTTGAAGGTTATGTCCACTTTCAGTTTCAAACAGCTAGTGCAGTACCCAACAACAGCTCAAGGCACACTGATAGACCATGTGTACTATAGGAATACATCTGGCAGTAACATATTTTCAATTGTTCAAGTGCAAGACACCTACTATTCCGATCATGACACTGTGCTTCAGCATTCCATTGAGAGCATCATAATATCAGCATTTTGTTCCTCTGCATATTTTTAGCCAAATTTCTGTCAAAAGCATATCAGAGCCTAAGCCTCTTTCCACACCCTCATACTGCCTATGTTACTATTTAAGTCAAACAAACCAATAAGAAACCCATAGAAACTTACGAGACCTATGAGATATATGAGACTTCATGAGACCAAGAGTACATAAGAGAGAGTATGGAACTGCGTATACCTGCATACAAACACTGTGTACAAAGTAACGTGACACGCATGTGATGAAACTTTGTAAAACAACACGTAATTTAAGCGATGACATTTACTAGTTGATTACTGGTTTTACAAAGTTTCATCACATGCGTGTCACGTTACTTTGTACACAGTGTTTGTATGCAGGTATATACGCAGTTCCATACTCTCTCTCTGTCATGTACTCTTGATTAGACCTATGAGGAGTCCATTCTTCAATCCATCTAGCAGTGCCAGAGCTCAAGTCCTAGATTCTGATCATGACACAGTTTACTATTCAGATATTTTAGCCCTCCAGAACATACATCATTAATATAAGTAGTACCTCCCAATACCATGTAGCAATGCCTAAGAACCCATCAAACCCCAGCATTCATACCGAGTTTCGACTCACTGTGGCTATGCCACTCAGAAAACAAAAAAAACTGCAATACCCAAAGAACTAAAAATGTCGATATTTTCTACATACCCACTTTATGAATTCTTTGCTACTACTACAACCAACAAAGCGCAAATTGGAACCTGAAGAAGTTGAGAGTTTGGAGGAACCAGTTAGTACTGCCTCTCTTCATGCAGTAGTTTCCTCCCTATCTCCTGTAAAGAAAGGCAGGAATAGCGACTACTTCGAAGGAACTGTAACGGATCGAAAATCAACTGTTCGACTCAAAAGGTCAAAACAAAGCAAAATTCAAAGGTTTATGGATAAACAACAGCCAATTCTTCTAGATGATTGGCTAGAAGTGGCCCAAGAATGGAAATAATGCTGAAGGTTTCTACTGCCATCACTTCCTCTCCTAAGACATTTTTGTTTATTTGGAAGAAAAGCCTATTGTTTTGAACATGAAAAGATGTCAGTGAATATAAAAGTCCTAAACGTTTTAGACCCTATCATAGTACCCACTGGAAAAAAAATACAAGAAGTTATAATTGCCGATTCTAGTACAACTTCCAATTGCACTTTATGGGAAGATGATGTTGGCAGCTTGGAAGTAGGATCTTACCTATTAAAGAACTTCCATGTACGTGATATGGATCAAAGAACTAAAGCCAGGGAGGACTCTGAAATATTAGCTATCTATGACATAGGAGTCACAGCAAGCAACAACGATCACCCACAACCTGCTGAAATACATAAAATCAGATTCGTGGCCAGTTATTAAAACACTTGCCTTTATTGACAACTTCAGTGCATTAACAACTGAATGCACACTTTTCAGTGCATTAAAAAAGTGTTCATGTGAATCACACCGGGCTACTCCTATAACTACATACATTGAGTTATGAATTCCTTTGTCCCACACAGAGTGGGATTTGACTTTGCATGTATTGTGTTGTTTGCAAGCAAGTCGTCTCAATGAGGGTCTTTACCATTATACCAGATGACACACTGATGTACATAACGCAATCCTGTACTTGAGTACCTAGCACTACAGACAGAATACACTATCCAGTGCTTTATGTGGTTTAGTCTTAGTGCATTGATAACGATAGAGGTTAGATAATGCACGAGACTTAGACTAGTGTATTACATAATCATAAATGTACACTTTTAATGCAATGTGTTCTAAAAATTTAAGTGCTTCCGCCAATCGGATTCGTGGGCAATTATTGAAAAAACTTGCCCTTTATTGACGGCTTTAGTGCATGAACAACTTCAATGCAACATTTCAGTGCATTAAGCAATTAAAAAAACAGTGTGCATGTGACTAAAGTGATTGGCTGAAGGTCACATGACAAGCACTAAGTGTGAATAGGTCCACCCAGATGGGTATGACCAGCTGTGGTGTTACTAACCATCAGTATAGTGAAGTACATAAGAATGCATGACAATGATCTCTGGTCAATAAGGCCACAGTGGACTACCCATCTCTTACCACACACCATTCTCACTTCACAGGCCACATAAACAATAAAGCATAACAGCCTACGCACTCATAACTTGAATATATAAACATGGTGTATTAGTGAATGTTCATTAACCCTCGGCGCGCATGCGCAGCGAGGGTTACAGTAGTCGTTCTGTGTGTCTGTCTGTCTCTCCGCGCGAGTTCTAGCACTACAGGCTACGAGGCGGCCAATGAGTGGCACAAACGGGTTGTGAACGACGAGCAGATGGATATTAATGTGGCGATTTTCCTGAAACGACTGCGTTCGATAGCGACAAAGTGGTACGGTCGCTGACCGCATTGCGTGGCCCAACCCATCAATAAGCTGTGCGCATGCGTATATTGGACGAACGCGGTACGCTGGCTCACATCGACCTGATCCGCTTGTTCTGTTTACCTTGGAGGCACAAGAAGCCACAGCGAAGGGCGTTTGTCGACTCCGGCATGCTATCTACTACCGTAGCTATCCCGTGTCAGACTCTCCGCGAGCTATATACTATATGGCGGGAGACAGCGGGTAAACGCATACTAATAGGCCCAGCCCATCCATTAGCGGTACCGCAGACGCGCAGTTCGCCGAGGGTTTGCACTTTAGTGCTTTTCATTAATTTAGCAAGTGCTCTACTAGAATGAATCCAATGCAACAATGAGAGTCACTCGCGAGCGTGACACATAATTGTGAAATTTCTATTTCATTTCATCTACATAAAACGTATGTGAGACGGTGACCTCCTCATCATTCTCGGCATAATGTTGGACGACTAAGGCTTTGCTCACTAATCCACACCACCATGCTTCGCACTTGCGTTGCTTTCATACCTCACATAATTCATGCATGTGCATGCATAATACTTAATGAGATTATGCATCTTTAGTGATTGTAATTACACTGGGCCACTCCTATAATTATGTCCAGTTATGAATTCCTGTGTCCCACACAGGGAGGGATTTGTCATTCCATGTATTGTGTTGTTTGCAAGCAAGTCGTCTCAATGAGGGTCTTTACCTTTATATCAGTGTGTCATCTGATGTAATAGAGACAAAACAAATTGTGAAACTTTGCAATCGTCTATGCCGTGCACTTGTGACTCTCGCGTTCCCTTGGCAAAATGTGCTACATTTGTTCTTGTATACAGTAAGCTGCCATCGCAGTAGACCACTTTTCATAGTGTCGTTGGATGGTGCATGTTTCATTCTTGTAGGATACTTGCGTGGGTGGATCAAAGCTGGAATGCGAGGTCTATCACGCCTTTCTTATCAGATTGTGTATAAACCACAGTTATGACAGTGTACAATATTCTATAGAAGATAGAACATACAGGATGAACGTAGTCTGAAGCGCTCACTATAGTCTATGGCAGATAGAACCTTCCCAGCTAGAAACGACGAAGTACGGGTCTAGTCACGTCAACGCCACTCAGCAACACTGGGTCAACAACTGGAGACGACTGATCCATCCAGAACGAAGAGCCAGAAGATGCCGCGCGCCCGCTAGCGCTTTCGGGGTGGTTGCAAGCATAGTAGAGCAGCAGATCAGATAGAGGGCGGCGGCGGGCCGGGGCATTCTTGCGCGCTTTCTCGCTTGGGTGCGCGCGGACTAGGTAAAGCCGGTCGGGTTGCCAAGCATCATACAAGCCATTTGTACGATGTCGTAATGCTTGTGGTTTACGTGACGCACTCGTGGCTCCGTTCATCAATAGAACACTCGGGCTGCGCCCTCGTGTTCTATTTGACGGAGCCACTCGTGCGTCACGTAAACCACGCGCCGACATCGTACAACTATAACATGTAAAAAGGTGCTGTCCTGGGTGTTGTTGCTTTGCTTGCCTTGCACTCTAACGTCATTTGGGCACAGGACCCACAGCTGGTCACTCAGCAATGGTAGTGGTGAAAAGGAAAGAGTCGTTGCAAAGCCAAGAGCTCTGTTTGTTTCTCACAGCTGCCCCACAAGTACTGCAACCCTTGCTGTGTATATATGTGTGCATAATGACAAGTGACAAGCACATGATGTGGACATTCAGATCTGCTCATGGTGACAGGTGGAGCAGTGAGTTGGTGTAGTGAGACCAGTTCTGGCTCTCTGACTGATTCACCAAGGCAAGGAAACACTTAGAAATGTGGCAGGGTATTGACTTCAGCTGAGCCCTCAAAAATTGTCATACCTTCTTTATTATACATCCAATTGCAAAGGCACAACATAATTGGAGTCCTCAACATTCTGATGATATCCCTGACTGCATTCTAAACCTTATCTGTCAAAAGTTAGCTATATTATGTCCCACAAGAAAAGTATGCCTAATTAAAGGATGTGGTACCTGTATGAACATTAAAAACCACTAGCTGGGCTCAGATGAACGCATAAAGTGCTACATGCTGGGCGGGGAAGGATTTCTATTAGTCGTTTTTAATAGGAATAGCGTTTAGGATAATAGCAATCCTACGATTAACCAATCAGATTTCAGAACTCACAATAAAGCAAGGCTTTAAAAAGAGAATGTAACACAGACAAATACGTAATATGTTGCCTTGTTCATCACCTAGACACAAAACTATGAGTGACCTTTGACCCCAGTTTTAAAGGGTCAGGGGTTTATCTTTTGGAAGGCAGAACAGAGAATAGAGGTTCTCTAACTGCCTGCAGTTCTCATACCTTGTTCTGGTAGTTGATGACAGCTCCAGCTGATCTCAGTTTCTCCACAATCTCTGTGTGACCTTTTCCAGCAGCTACCTCCAGAGGAGATGTGAGAGGATCAACCTTCACAAAGAAAAAGTCAGTCCAACAGGAATCATTGTGAGTAAACCAGTCACGCACAAAGAGTATTGTTAAATGACTTTTGGATATACAAATTCAACATTTTACATAAGAAAGGTAAGAATTTTAAGAAAGCTACTTTTGGCACTGTTCACCCTCCATAATCGACTTAAAATAACATTATTTAGCAAACTAACACTAGAGTTACTGGCACACACAGAAACCTTGTAAAATTTCAGTTCGATGCATGTGTGAATTATTACATGTGAGAGTTTAGAATTACGTTGGACATCACAATAGGGTGGTAACATTGCTGTATACATTACATATAGAAGTGCAGGCATTTCAGGTAACTAGGTAGGATCACTTTGCTTACCAATTAGATACAGTAGAAATAACTATTAATGTTAAGATGCTTGTAGTAAACCAGTCAACTAACTATGACTAGTCAAATACAGTGAAGGACATTAAGCATTGAGGAGGGGAAAAACAGAGACTAATGTATTGCTCATTGCAGCAACAGACGTACATATGTAGGTACAAGGAAATTGGTGTTACGTGTCAGTTACTCGGTAAGCATGTATTCACTATAGAGAGAACCATAGGCTACTTCAGAGTAGGTACAAGACCAAATGAAATGTATACTAAATCCTACAAGCAGTAAATACGTACACATTCATTGACATATCCATCCACAAGTCTATGCGATCAACCATACCAGCCATGAACTATTCCCCATTCTCACAGAAGCTAGCAATAACATCAGTGGGGTCATGCACCAATGGGGAATTTCTTTGCATTATGACGTCATTTGTAAGTCCATTTCAGTGTTATGCTTAAGAAAGTCACCATGGCATCTTGGCTAAGCCCCAGAACAAGCATCAGATTGGAAAAAGAGAGAGTTTATCATGTTAGTTAGGTTCTATGTATCAAAACATTGTCAGTTGTAATATCTGCCAAAAAGGTTTCCTCGCGGCAGATACATCAGCCATCTAGGTAGTACAGTACTAATCCAGTGTGTAATGCAACCCTTTTGCAGTGAATGTTAATAAGGTAACTATAATTTTTCATTCCGAGTTGTTGTCTGTTAACAGACAATAAGTGTATTTTGTTGGGTTTTTTTAGGACTAGGATCCCTTGCATGGTCCCTAGGACTGCCAATGGCCTGACAATGTGGTGACTAGATCACTGGGCATAATGCAGTGTTGCAGCCGGACATGAACTGTGCAGTTTCTGTACACAACTGTTAGACTCCTACGCTACCATATATACCCTGTCCAGTGTTCTCTTTGCACAATGCAGTGATCACATGCTGCCTTGAAAGGCTCTGTAAGTTACGTATGAATACAAACCCTCGTTCCTCGACTCACTCTACAAAAGCTAGGATACATTCATATGTGATCGCGTATAACCAGGTCTCTTGACAATCTCCCACACACAACTTCAATTCCATTGCAAGGGAGGGGTGTGTTGCTGTCAACGGAGTCTAGGTCACTTACAATCATACTACTCTTAATATCCTCTGGCTCCCCTCACTTTACAGAGGGAGACTGGGTACAACACTACCTCTCCCCCGTGCTCTGTGTGTCCACGACCTAATTCCCACTGCCATGTACTTTCTGAAATACAAGATAATTGTATCAAAACCTTGAAATTTGCCCCTACAAAGGTATATTTGCCGGCATAATCTGTATATGGAAGACCTTCGCTGGCAGCATACTGCTGTGTCGATGGAGGGACATGTACTGCTCTCTCCATTCAGACAGAGATGGCGGGAGGCTCTAACACCATGTGTGGAGAGATGTTGTGGATCCCAGAGACCAACACACTACTTCACATTACTGCATACTTCTTATCTTCACACGGTGCAGGTGTTATCAGTGTGGAAGTACCTTAGAATGCAAAATCTACGTGATTTTGATGCGTCTTATTCTTGCTCCGAGAACTAAGATTACTCTAGTCTAAGCCGTGTAAGTTTTACGTCCCTACTGATATATACTGCAGTGTTTCCGGTTTTGATGCCTCCTCGCGGTAGATTCTGGTCGAGGTAGCTTGTGTTAAAAATATGATTAGCTTGTTTACCTGCTATTGTACCATAACATTTATACACAGCAGTAGGTAGTACAGTACTAATCCACACACAACCTTAATTCCCCTTTGCAAGGGAGAGGGTGTGTTGCTGTCAACGGAGTCTAGTTCACTTACAATCATACTATCCTCCATATCCTGGCTCCCCACATTGTGGGGTAACATAGAGAAGGAGATGCATACACACACTCCAGACCTTTCATGTAATATCTGATGCCTCCAAGGTATATATATATGAGTCTGGTCGAGGTAATTAGCATATAATTATGATTCGATTGTTTACTTGACTTTGTGTGCAATAACATTAAACATATTTTAGGTATTGGTGGCTCAACGGCGTAGATATGTTTTTAAAAGCAGATAGCCATCAGTAGCGCTAAATTTGGTTGTTTCACTTTCGTGTTGCACTCCAGACATAGTACAATGACCCTCATTGTCCATGTGCATGAAGGGTTAATTAATGGCCTCTAACTCACTGTAGTTTTACAATGATGCGTTCTTAGCCATCTACGGAATCCCTTCACCATTGTCCTCACACTTTACACCATTTACTAATGTCAGTGAGTAAAGGTGGCGACATAATAGGGCTGTGTACGCATGCGTCACTCGTGGCCCCCGTGTTGCACATTGTGGGGTAACAGAGAGAAGGAGATACATACACACACTCCAGACATAGTATCATAACCCTCATTGTCCATGTGCACAAAGGGTTTTAATTAAACTCACTGTCTTGGTCAGATTAACATTTGCTCCATTCTTCAACAGAACGTCAACTGTCTGCTTGTGTCCATTCTGACAGGCCATATAGAGTGGAGTACAACCATTCTGAGTATAGGAGAAAGTGTGACAGAGAGATATACAGGAGAAAGTCAAATGTGACATAATTGTGCAGAGAGATATCAAGACTGAGAGTCATACAAACCTTCATACAAGAGAAATACAAGCATGTTCATAACAGGACATACTATTGTTTGGTTGTCCTGTTTGTAACAGATTATGGTGGCCTTTTTGTAGAGATCACAGTGCCTCTTTCTGTTACCATGTAAGTGCTGTACCTAACACCACATATTGACACATATTGGAAGTCATGGAAGGAAATCTGTATGAATAGGTTCTTTAGGGTTCAACCAGATGGGTATAACATTGCCAAGACAAGCTATGGCATCACTAAAAAGTGAAAACCAGTGTGTACATAGGAATGGCAAAAATGATCTCCGGTCAATGAGGACACACACACACCACAGTCAACTACCCATCTCTTATCAGACACCATTATCACTTCACAGGCCCACATTAAAAACATTACTCTATCTTCATGCTGTATCAGTCTGGTAAAAAAAATCACTGAAGAACATGGAACATAATTGTTAAATTTCTATTCAATTTCTGTCTACATAAAATATCACAGTATGTGAGACAGTGACCTTCTCATCGTTGTTGGATACATACATTCATGAGAATTTAGACGACTAAGTACAGGTGTGCTTGGCTCACCAACAACTGCACAGAGTTCATCACAGAAATAGCAACTAAACAAACTATGTACACATTATGTTGGTTTGCTTGCTTTGCTCTCACATGCAGTCAGAGGTATGCCATAGAAATGTATGGAGAGAGTCTGTTCAGGGGTTTGCAGACTTCTAGGACTACAGTGTCGCATATGACTGGATGCGGAATGGAGCGATTAATGCAATGGTGCTTGAAAATGGTGAATATAGGGGGAAAAACAAGGAGACAAGACAGAGTGTATGTGATGCAGTAGTACAATGGATGACGGCTACATATTTCAAACTGACATTGCTCACTCATGTAAAATAACAGCACACGCTTTACATACATACTACATATAGAAAGAAGGAAGAGAAAGAAGAGTGAGAAGGGGCTTTTTGGGGCTTCACTTGATATCTATACACACAAATACAAACACAGGGCTAGCAAATCAACTTATATGGGCACACGCAAGCTAGTACAGAGCGGTAGTATGATGAGACAGACATGTACGTATGACTAAATTCTAATGACAGACGATAGAAACGGTATAAAAGGATAGTAGTGAGACATATAAAAAATATATATAGAAAATTATCTTAGCATCCAAACATAGAAGTATCGCCAAATGTAAAAATGCAGGGCAGCACCACTAGAGAACCAGCTAGCATGGTTTAGGCATTGTGGGTGCCCTGGCCTTGAGAACCAGGGGTGGTCGGTTAAAGACCACTGGTGAACTCTACCCACTCACCCGAGCCTTCTCTTGGCGGCACTGCCCAGACTCCATGTACGCTTGACAGATACACACACATACCTTGCAGCTCGACACAGTCTTCAGCAAAGAACCACCACTGACTGACAGTAACGACCAAAACGAAGAGTTATATTCATCTGAGCCCGTGGAGTAAGGGTTGTGGTATGTTCAACAAGCCACGATTTACAAACGTAGATGTCAAACAGTGACGTTTTTGTATAATGATGGGAGGCATTCCCAAATGCCCTCAGAAATATGTCTGTTCACACAGACTCCATATATAGTCATAAGATGAGAGTACCTTGTGTAGAAATGTTCACATATTCGGTTATCTTTAGTGCTTGTAATTACCCCGGGCCACTCCATATTATGTTTATGAATTCCCGTGTCCCACACAGAGTGGGATTTGCCTTTGCATGAATTGTGTTGTTTGCAAGCAAGTCGTCTCAATGAGGGTCTTTACCAGATGACACACGATGCAACAGAGACAAACAAGTTTGCAATCGTCTACGTCGTTCACTTCTGACTCTCGCGTTCCGTCGCCAAAATGTGCGCTGCATTTGTTCTTGTATACAGTAAGCTGCCATCGCAGTAGACCACTCTTCATAGTGTCGTTGGATGGTCCATCTTTTATTCATGTAAAAAAGGTGCTGTCCTGGGTGTCGTTGCTTTGCTTGCCTTGCACTCTAACATATTAGTTTATGTCATTAGGGCACAGGACCCACAGCTGGTCACCCAGCAATGGTAGTGGTGAAAAAGGAAAGAGTCAGTTGTGAAGCCAAGAGCTCTGTTTGTTTCTCATAGCTACCACACAAGTACTGTAACCCTTGCTGCATATTTATGTGTGCATAATGACAAGTGACAAGCACATGATGGGGACACTCAGATCTGCTCATGGTGACAGGTGGAGCAGTGAGTTGGTGTAGCGAGACCAGTTCTGGCTCTCTGACTGACTGACCAAGGCAAGGAAACACTTAGAAATGTGGCAGGGTATTGACTTCAGCTGAGCCCTCAAAAATTGTCATACCTTCTTTATTATACATCCAATTGCAAAGGCACAACATAATTGGAGTCCTCAACATTCTGATGATATCCCTGACTGCATTCTAAACCTTATCTGTCAAAAGTTAGCTATATTATGTCCCACAAGAAAAGTATGCCTAATTAAAGGATGTGGTACCTGTATGAACATTAAAAACCACTAGCTGGGCTCAGATGAACGCATAAAGTGCTACATGCTGGGCGGGGAAGGATTTCTATTAGTCGTTTTTAATAGGAATAGCGTTTAGGATAATAGCAATCCTACGATTAACCAATCAGATTTCAGAACTCACAATAAAGCAAGGCTTTAAAAAGAGAATGTCCATAGAGTAACACAGACATCTACGTAATATGTTGCCTTGTTCACCACACAAATATGGTGTTATCTAACACCCCATTTTTCTGTACCAAAACTGCCAGGGTGTATTGGAGCACCTCAGGGGTGTTCATTACGCCTTAAGTAGGTGTTTACTAACACTCTTGGGGTGTAGAGTAACCCATGGTGCTCACAACAACACCTAAGGGTGTAATCCTACACTGACCCCATCACAACTTCCTTTGCCTTGTGCATTGTGCAATGTCAGAAAATTTCATCATCCCATAGACCTAGACACAAAACTATGAGTGACCTTTGACCCCCAGTTTTAAAGGGTCAGAGGTTTATCTTTGGAATGCAGAAGAGAGAGAATAGAGGTGAGGCTCTCTAACTGCCTGCAGTTCTCATACCTTGTCCTGGTAGTTGATGACAGCTCCAGCTGATATCAGTTTCTCCACAATCTCTGTGTGACCTTTTTCAGCAGCTCTCCCCAGAGGAGATGAGAGAGGATCAGCCTTCACAAAGAAAAAGTCAGTCCAACAGGAATCATTGTGAGTAAACCAGTCACGCACAAAGAGTATTGTTAAATGACTTTTGGATATACAAATTCAACATTTTACATAAGAAAGGTAAGAATTTTAAGAAAGCTACTTTTGGCACTGTTCACCCTCCATAGTCGACTCTAAGGAACATTATTTTAGCAAGCTAACGCTAGAGTTACTGGCACACACAGAAACCTTGTAAAATGTCAGTTCGGTGCATGTGTGAATTATTGCATGTGTGAGTTTAGAATTACGTTGGACATCACAATAGGGTGGCAACATTGCAGTATACATTACATATAGAAGTGCAGGCAATTCAGGTAACTATATAGGAAGAATCACTTATCTGACATATCCATCCACAAGTCTATTTAAGCGATCAACCATACCAGCCATGAACTATTCCCCATTCTCACAGAAGCTAGCAATAATATCAGTGAGGTCATGCACCAATGGAATTTCTTTCAATTATGACGTCACATGTAAGTCCATTTCAGTGTTATGCTTACGAAAGTCACCATGGCATCTTGGCTAAGTCCCAGAACAAGCATCAGATTGGAAAAGAGAGAGTTTATCATGTTAGTTAGGTTCTATGTATAAAAATGTTGTCAGCTGTAATATCTGCCAAAAAGGTTTCCTCGCGGCAGATACATCAGCCATCTAGGTAGTACAGTACTAATCCAGTGTGTAATGCAACTCTTTTGCAGTGAATGCTCAAAAGGTAACTATAATTCTTCATTCCGAGTTGATGTCTATTTTGTTGCTATTTTTCAGCACGTGTACTGGTATATATGGTCCAATGGCCTGGTCAATGTCCTGACAATGTGGTGACTAGATCACTGGGCATAATGCAGTGTTGCAGCCGGACATGAACTGTGCAGTTTCTGTACACGACTGTTAGACTTCTACACTACCATATATACCCTGTCCAGTGTTCTCTTTGCACAATGCAGTGATCACATGCTGCCTTGAAGGGCACCCTCGTTCCCTGACTCACTCTACAAAAGCGAAGATACTTTGATATGTGATCGCGTATAACAACAATACCCAGGTGGCTGCCATAGCACTAGGGTCATAGACCACGCACCCAGAGCAATGGGCGGAACTGTTAACAAACGAACATACACCATATGAACATGAGGTGTCTGTCTCACCTCCCAGACACCTCAACTCACCCCTTCCACCAGCGACACCCTGCAGCTCCCCAGACGCAATCTGAGACTGGGTCTGTTGTATGCTGGGATTATCGCCGTATAACCTAACCTTTCTTAGCTCCCAAACATCCAAAATAAAACCTTTAACAAGGCCAAGCAAAGAACCAAATTTATCCTCCCACAGCTCACTACCCAATATAAAGGATGCTTTCCTGAAACTATCAAGCGACTGGAAATGCTCAAACCCATCATCCCCAAGGTTCCCCTGCAGGGCAACTAAGAAATTGCTCCTAAGACTACTATAAGCTGAACATTCCCACAACACATGACTTACACTTTCACACTCATCATCACACAACAGGCACTCCTTCATCCCCTCCCTCCCTCTATTAAAAAGGTCTCCTGACAATGCCCCACACACAACCTCAATTCCCTTTGCAAGGGAGAGGGTGTGTTGCTGTAAACGGAGTCTAGGTCCTTACAATCATACTATCCTCAATATCCTGGCTCCCCACATTGTGGGGTAACATAGAGAAGGAGATGCATACACACACTCCAGACCTTTCATGTAATATCTGATGCCTCCAAGGTATATATATGACACGGCAGAGTCTGGTCGAGGTAATTAGCATAATTATGATTCGATTGTTTACTTGACTTTGTGTGCAATAACATTTAAACATATTTTAGGTATCGGTGGCTCAACGACGTAGATATGTTTTTAAAAGCAGATAGCCACCAGTAGCGCTAAATATGGTTGTTTCACTTTAGTGTTGCACTCCAGACATAGTACAATAACCCTCATTGTCCATGTGCATGAAGGGTTAATTAATGGCCTCTAACTCACTGTAGTTTTACAATGCTGCGTTCTTAGCTACAGAATCCCTTTACCATTGTCCTCACACTTTACAATCTCCACAGACTATTCCACTAGGGCCTTGATGGCCTCAATGAGAAAGAGATTTACCAGTACCACCCACACCACTAACAAAACAAT